ACAACAGTGAGAACAGTTGCAACAGTGAGAATAGTGACAACGGTGACAACAGTGAAAACGGTGACAACAGTGACAACTGTAACAAAAGTGACAACGGTGACAATGGTGACAACAGTGATAACAGTGACAACATTGACAACAAGTGCAAGAGTAACAATAGTGACAAAGGTGTCAACGGTTACAATGGTGACAACGGTGACAACGGTAACAACAGTGACAACAGTGAGAACGGTGACAACGGTGAAAACGGTGAAAACGACTCAACAGTGTCAACGGTAACAACATTGACATCGGTGACAAAAGTAACAACGGTGACAACAGTGACAACATTGACAACGGTAAAAATAGTGACAACAGTAACAACGGTGACAACGGCGCTAATGGTAACAACAATTACAATGGTAATGACATTGACAACGGTGAGAAGAGTAACAATGGTGACAACGGCGATGACGCTGAAAACGTTGACAATGGTGACAACGGAGACAATGGTGTCAACAGTGACAACAGTGACAACTGTGACAACAGTGAAAACGGTGAAAACGGTGAAAACGGTGAAAACAGTGACAACGGTGACAACAGTGCCAACAGTGACAACAGTCATAACTGTTACAACATAAAAAAACGGTAACGACAATGGTGACAATGGTGACAACCATGACAACAGTGACAACGGTGGCAAAGGTGACAACAGTGACATCAGTGACAACTGTGACAACAGTGACAACGGTGACAACCGTGATAACCGTGAGAACAGTGATATTGGTGACAACGGTATCAAGGGTGACAACAGTGACAAAGGCGACAACTGTGACAACGGTGACAATGGTGAAAACGGTGTTAACAGTGACAACAGTAACAACTGTGACAACACTGACAACGGTGACAACAGTGACAATGGTGACAACCGTGAGAAAAGTGACAACGGGGACAACGTTGTCAACGCTGACGACAGTGTCACCGCTGTCACCATTGTTACTTTTCTCACCGTTGTCAATGTCATTACCGTTGCAACTGTTGTTACCGTTAGCACCGTTGTCACTGTTGTCACTGTTGTCACTGACGTCACCGTTGTGACTGTTGTCACAGTTGTCAGTGTTGTGACTGTTGTGACTGTTGTGACTGTTGTCACTGTTGTCACCGTGGTCAGTGTTGTTATTGTTGTCACTGTTGTCACTGTTGTCACCTTTGTCACGGTTTTTACCATTGTCACCGTTGTCACCGTTGTCAGTGTTGTCACCGTTGTCACTGTTGTCACTGTTGTCACTTTTGTCACTGTTGTCACTGTTGTCACCGTTGTCACTATTGTCGCTGTTGCATCTGTTGTCACTGTTGTCACCATTGTCACCGTTGTAACTGTTGTCACTGTTGTTACTGTTTTTACCGTTGTCACCGTTGTCAGTGTTGTCAGCGTTGTCACAGTTGTCACTGTTGTCACTATCGTCACTGTTGTCACCACTGTCACCGTTGTCACTGTTGTTACTGTTGTCACTGTTCTTACCATTATCACCATTGCCTCCGTTTCCACCAATTTCACCGTTGTCACTGTTGTCACAGTTTTCACTGTTGTCACCGTTGTCACTATTGTCACTTTTGCAACTGTTGTCACTATTGTCACTGTTGCCACTTTTGTCTCTGTTGTCACTGTTCTCACTACTGTCCCTGTTGTCACTGTTGTTGCTGTTGTTACTGTTTTTACCATTGTCACCATTGTCTTCGTTGTCAGTGTTGCCACTGATGTCATGGTCATCACCGTTGTCACTGTTGTCTCCGTTGTCACATTTGTCACTGTTGTCACCGTGGTCATTGTGGTGACCGTTGTCACCGTTGTCTCTGTTTTCACTGTGGTCACCGTTGTCACCGTTGTCACTGTTGTCACTGTTGCCACCGTTGTCACCATTGTCACTGTTGTCACCGTTAACACCGTTGTCACCGTTCACACCGTTTTTACCGTTGTCACCGTTGTCACTGTTTTCTCTCCTGTCACCTTTGTCACTGTTTTCACCGTTGACAGCGTTGTTACAGTTGTCACTGTTGTTACTGTTATCGTTGTCACCGTTGTCAGTGTTGTCACCGTTCTCACTGTTGTTAGCGTTGTCATCGTTGTCACCGTTGTCAGTCTTGTCGCTGTTGTCACTGTTGTCACCGATATCACTGTTGTCACCGTTGTCACAGTTGTCACTGTTGTCACTGTTGTCACCGTTCTCACTGTTAACATTGATGTCACTGATGTCAGGGTTGTCATCGTTGTCACCGTTGTCACCGTTGTCATCGTTGTCAGTGTTGTCGGTATGGTCAATATTGTCACCGTTTTTACTCTTGTCACTGTTGTGACTGTTGTCACCGTTGTCACCGTTGTCAGTGTTGTCACTGTTGTCACTTTTGTCACTGCGTGTTGTCACGGTTGTCACAGTTTTCACCGTTGTCACCGTTTTCACTGTTGTCGGTGTTGTCAATGTTGTCATCGATGTGACAGTTGTCACTGTTGTCATTGTTGTTACCATTGTCACCGTTGTCAGTGTTGTCACCGTTGTCACTGTTGTCACTGTTCTCACTGTTGTTAATGTTTTCAATGTTGGCACTGTTGTCACACTGAGAACGGTGACAACGGTGAAAACAGTAACAAGAATGACAACGGTGAAAAAACTGAAAACACTAAAAACACCGACAACACTGACAACGGTGACACTGGTGACAACATTGACAACATTAACAACAGTGACAACTGGGACAACAATGACAACAGGGAAAACGGTGACAACAGTGACAACCGTGACAACAGTGACAACAGTGGCAATTGTGACAACGGTGACAATGGTGAAAACAGTGACAACAGTGACAACAGTGAGAATAGTTGCAACAGCGACAATAGTGACAACCGTGACCACAGTGAAAACGGTGACACCAGTGACAACATTGACAACAGTGACAACAGTGACAACAAGGGAAAGAGTAACAATAGTGACAAAGGTGTTAACGGTTACAACGGTGACAACGGTGACAACGGTGACAACGGTGACAACTGTGACAACGGTGACAACGGTAAAAACGGTAAAAACGAGACAACAGTGTCAACGGTAACAACATTGACATCGGTGACAACAGTAACAACGGTGACAACAGTGACAACATTGACAACGGTAAAAACAGTGACAACAGTAACAACAGTGACAACGGTGGTAATGGTAACAACAGTTACAATGGTAATGACATTGACAACAATGAGAAGAGTAACAATGGTAACAACGGTGATGACGCTCACAACATTGACAATGGTGGCAATGGAGACAATGGTGTCAACAGTGACAACAGTGAGAACTGTGACAACAGTGAAAACGGTGACAACGGTGACAACGGTGAAAACCGTGACAACGGTGACAACGCTGTCAACAGTGACAAGAGTGATAACTGTTACAACAATAAAAAACGGTAACAACGGTGACAACGGTTGCAACCGTGACAACAGTGACAACGGTGACATTAGTGACAACAGTGACAACAGTAACAACAGTAAAAACGATGACGACATTAACAACTTGGACAACAGTGACAACAGTGACAATATTGACAACACTGAAAACACTGACAACAGTGACAACGGTGTCAACAGTAACAACAGTAACAACTGTGACAACAGTGAAAACGGTGAAAACGGTGAAAACACTGACAACGGTGACAACGGTGGCAACGCTGACAACACTGACAATGGTGACAACAGTAACAACAATGACAACCGTGACAAGAGTGACAAAGGTGACAACAGTGACAACAGTGCCAACGGTGACAACACTGAGAACGGTGACAACAGTAACAACAGTGACAACGGTAAGAACAGTGACAAAAGTGCCAACAGTGACAACACCGACAACGGTGACAAAAGAGAAATGGTGACAACAGTAACAACAGTGAAAATGCTGACTATGCTGACAACAGTGATAACAGTGACAACAGTGACAACAATGACAACAGTGACAACGGTAATAACGGTGACAACAGTGACAACGGTGACAACTGTGACAACAATAAAAAATGGAGACAACAGTGACAACCCGGACATCACTAAAAGCACTGACAATGGTGACAACGGTGAAAATAGTGACAACTGTGACAACAGTGAAAACGGTGAGAAGAGTGAAAACAGTAACAACAGTGACAACAATGTCACCAGTGACAACGGTGACAACAGTGACAACAGTGACAACGGTGATAGCAGTGACACCAGTGACAACGGTGACAACGGTGATAATACGGACATCAGTGACAACTGTGACAACAGTGACAACGGTGACAACGGTGAGAACAGTGACAACTGTGACAACCGTGACAACAGTGACAACGGTGAGAACAATGACAACAGTGACAACGGTGATAACAGTGACAACAGTGAGAACGGTGACAACTGTGACAACAGTGAAAAATGGAGACAACAGTGACAACCCAGACATCACTGAAAACACTGACAATGGTGACAACGGTGAAAATAGTGACAACTGTGACAACAGTGAAAACGGTGAGAAGAGTGAAAACAGTAACAACAGTGACAACAATGTCACCAGTAACAACGGTGACAACAGTGACAACAGTGACAACGGTGATAGCAGTGACACCAGTGACAACGGTGACAGTGGTGACAACAGTGACAACGGTGACAACCGTGACAATAGGGACATCAGTGACAACTGTGACAACAGTGACAATGGTGACAACGGTGCCAACAGTGACACAGTGACAATTGTGACAACAGTGAAAACGGTGACAACCGTGTCAACGGTGACAACAGTGACAACAGTGACGACAGAGACAACAGTGACAATGGTGACAACGGTGAAAAGGGTGTCAACAGTGACACCAGTGACAACTATGACAACAGTGACAACGGTGACAATGGTGGCAACCGCCACAACCGTGACAACAGTGACAACAGTGACACTGGTGTCAACGGTGACAACAGTGTCAACGGTGACAACAATGAAAGTGGTGACAACGGTAAAATTGGTAAA